TCCTCGGGGATCCTTCCCAACGAGAGGATCCGCAACATCGGCATCTCGGCGCACATCGACTCCGGGAAGACGACGCTGACGGAGCGGATCTTGTTCTACACGGGCAGGATCGCGCAGATGCACGAGGTGGGTGGGGGGGGCCCGGCCCGGCTGCCCCTGGGAGCTGGGAACTTGTCCCCCCTCTCCCAGAACACTTGCCCATCTTACCTCAAACCTCCCCTTCTCCCTCACAGAGAATGCACAGTGGAAGGCAGAGCTTCCCTGTGATGTGCTCAGAGATGCTCGGGAGAAACAGAGGAGGATTCTCCTCCCCCTCTGTTCTGCATTGGTGAGGCCGCATCTGGAGTATTGTGTCCAGTTCTGGGCCCCTCAGTTCCAGAAGGACAGGGAACTGCTTGAAAGAGTCCAGCGCAGAGCTACGAAGATGATTAGGGGAGTGGAACATCTCCCTTATGAGGAAAGGCTGAGGGAGCTGGGTCTCTTTAGCTTGGAGAAAAGGAGACTGAGGGGTGACCTCATCAATGTTTACAAATATGTAAGGGGTGAGTGTCAGGGGGACGGAGTTAGGCTTTTCTCGGTGATGACCAGTGATAGGACAAGGGGTAATGGGTGTAAATTGGAGCATAGGAGGTTCAAGGTGAATATCCAAAAAAATTTTTTTACTGTGAGAGTGACAGAGCACTGGAACAGACTGCCCAGGGAGGTTGTGGAGTCTCCCTCACTGGAGACATTCAAAACCCACCTGGATGAGTTCCTGTGTGATGTACTCTAGGTGACCCTGCTCTGGCAGGGGGGTTGGACTAGATGATCTCGCGAGTCTTTCGAGGTCCCTTCCAACCCCTAAGATTCTATGATTCTATGCAGGGGGGTGGTTTTTAGCCTGCTAAATTCGTAAGGAAGCATAATTTGCCTCACATTCCTGATAACCTTTTCCAGGACTGACCCTCAAGAGAGCAAAATACATGAAAGCCACAGGTGAAGCTGCAAGGACCACTTCTTGCAAGCACAGGATCAGAGTGTCCCAATGGTTAGGAAATCTAGTAAGGGTGCTAGGAGACCTGCATGGTTAAAGAAGGAACTACTGGGCAAACTTAAGTGGAAAAGGAAAATCTACAGATCATGGAAGGAGGGGCTGGTCACGTGGGAGGAATATAGGACTGTTGTCAGAGGATGTAGGGAGGCAATTAGGAAAGCTAAGGCCTCCTTGGAACTTAACCTTGCAAGTCAGGTTAAGGATAATAGAAAGGGCTTTTTCAAATACATAGCTAGCAAAACTAGCAGTAGAGGCAATATTGGCCCATTGAGGAATGAGGTGGGAGCCCTGGTGACAGAGGATATAAAGAAGGCAGAGGTGCTGAATGCCTTCTTTGCCTCTGTCTTCACTCCTGCAGGGTCTCCCTATGAGCCCCAGATTCATATAGCCCCAGAAGAAGTCAAGATAGAGGAAGAGTTTGACATGGTAGATGAGGATTGGGTTAGGGATCAGTTGAGTAATCTGGACATCCATAAATCAATGGGTCCAGATGGAATGCACCCAAGGGTGCTGAGGGAGCTGGCGGAGGTCATTGCTAGGCCACTCTCCATCATCTTCAGTAAGTCATGGGCAACAGGTGAGGTGCCTGAGGACTGGAGGATAGCAAATGTCACTCCAGTCTACAAGAAGGGCAAGAAGGAGGACCCGGGTAACTATAGACCGGTCAGCCTCACCTCCATCCCTGGAAAGGTGATGGAACAACTTGTTCTTGTCACTATCTCCAGGCACATCAAGGACATGGGGGTCATCAAGAGCAGTCAGCATGGTTTTATCAAGGGTAAATCATGTTTGACTAACCTCATAGCCTTCTATGAGGAAATTACTAGGTGGATAGATGATGGTAGAGCGGTAGATGTGGTTTATCTTGATTTCAGTAAAGCATTTGACACCGTCTCCCACAGCATCCTTGTAGAAAAGTTGATCAGGTATGGGTTTGGTGATCAGGAAGTGAGGTGGATTAGGAACTGGTTGAAAGGAAGGAGTCAGAGAGTTGTAGTCAATGGGGCAGAATCTGGTTGGAGGTGTGTGACTAGTGGAGTCCCACAGGGGTCGGTACTGGGACCGGTGTTGTTCAACATCTTCATCAACGACCTGGATGAGGGTATAGAATGTACCCTCAGCAAGTTTGCTGATGACACTAAGCTGGGAGGAGTGGCTGACACACCAGAAGGCTGTGCTGCCATTCAGAGAGACTTAGATAGGTTGGAGAGTTGGGCGGGGAGAAACATGATGAAATTCAACAAGGGGAAGTGCAGAGTTTTACATTTGGGGAAGAACAACACCATGTCCCAGTACAGGTTGGGGGCTGAACTGCTGGAGAGTAGTGTAGGTGAAAGAGACCTGGGGGTCCTGGTAGACAGGAGGATGACCATGAGCCAGCAATGTGCCCTTGTGGCCAAGAAGGCCAATGGCATCCTGGGGTGTATTAGAAAGGGTGTGGTTAGTAGGTCAAGAGAGGTTCTCCTCCCCCTCTATTCTGCATTGGTGAGGCCACATCTGGAGTATTGTGTCCAGTTCTGGGCCCCTCAGTTCAAGAAGGACAGGGAACTGCTTGAAAGAGTCCAGCGCAGAGCTACGAAGATGATTAAGGGAGTGGAACATCTCCCTTATGAGGAAAGGCTGAGGGAGCTGGGTCTCTTTAGCTTGGAGAAAAGGAGACTGAGGGGTGACCTCATCAATGTTTACAAATATGTAAGGGGTGAGTGTCAGGGGGACGGAGTTAGGCTTTTCTCGGTGATGACCAGTGATAGGACAAGGGGTAATGGGTGTAAATTGGAGCACAGGAGGTTCAAGGTGAATATCTGAAGAAATGTTTTTACTGTGAGAGTGACAGAGCACTGGGACAGGCTGCCCAGGGAGGTTGTGGAGTCTCCCTCACTGGAGACATTCAAAACCCACCTGGATGAGTTCCTGTGTGATGTGCTCTGGGTGACCCTGCTCTGGCAGGGGGGTTGGACTGGATGATCTTTCGAGGTCCCTTCCAACCCCTAAGATTCTATGATTCTATGCAGGGGGGTGGTTTTTAGCCTGCTAAATTCGTAAGGAAGCATAATTTGCCTCACATTCCTGATAACCTTTTCCAGGACTGACCCTCAAGAGAGCAAAATACATGAAAGCCACAGGTGAAGCTGCAAAAAAGATAAATCCAGCTTGTTTGTAGTACAAGAATTAAAGGGGTTGTGCCATGTCTGCTTTGCTTCAGTGCATGGAAGATGATGCACAGTGTGTAAGGCATCTTCCTGCACCTGCAGAACTCTTAGCAAACTCTTTGTTTCTTTTCCTTAAGGTGAAAGGCAAGGATGGAGTTGGAGCTGTGATGGACTCCATGGAGCTGGAGCGCCAGCGTGGGATCACCATCCAGTCTGCAGCAACATACACCATGTGGAAGGACACCAACATCAACATCATAGACACGCCAGGTGGGGGTTGTTCTCCTTCCTGTGCACAGGCAGTGCCACATGGTGCCACCTATGTTGTCACCAGGCTGGACTGGGGGGACTCCCTCTGCAGAGCTGAGGGCTGGTTCTGTTGGCTGCTGCTCTTTCCTGCATGTATGAGAAGACAGTTTCTCATTGCCTTTCATCACCTGCAAATAATGGTGGGGTTTTTTTTGTCACTCAGGACATGTGGACTTCACAATTGAAGTGGAGAGGTCTCTGAGGGTTCTCGATGGAGCTATTCTGGTTCTCTGTGCTGTTGGAGGAGTTCAGTGCCAGACAATCACTGTGAACAGGCAGATGAAACGTTACAGTGTGCCATTCCTCACGTTCATCAATAAACTGGACAGAATGGGCTCTAGTCCAGCCAGAGCAGTGCAACAATTGAGGTATTTATCACTTGAAGTTATTTGTGAGATAATTCCTTGAGCTATTCACCTAGCAGGTTAATGCTGAGATTATTCTAGAGCATTCTCTTGTGGGGTCTGTAGTCACAGTTTGGAGGGTAACACCTGACTTGAGGTGAAATCTTAATCTGATATCTGACAAGTCTCCATATCCTCAAGAGAAACAAGTGTTAGGGTCACCCCAGGCTTGCAGTGACAGGGCTGGGCTTCTGATACTTATTTTCTTGAGGGAACTTTATTTGGAGCCACTTTGAAAACAGCCTTTTGATTTTTCCTAGAACCTGGTAGCAAACCTGCTGCAGCTTGCAGCAGGAGGTGACACAGGGCTGGACAGTCTCTAGCTCAGGTGCCAGAAGTCCTCTCTGCTCCCCACCTGCAGCTGTTCTTGGCCTGGTTTCATCTGTGAGGTAGATGCATTAATATGTGTGGAGGGAGAAGCAACTCCTATAATCAAGCAAGTTCAATGAAATCTGAAACCAGCTTGCACTGCCTTCTTTCCCAGGGAAATTGCTCATTGTATCCCTTGGGATATAGAGGGGCTGGCAGTCACTCCAGTTAATATGGAGCTAGACATGTTGTATCAGCACTGGTAGATCTTTGGCACTGTCCAAAGGACACAAAGTTGTGATTTTTGTAGGAATGGGATGTTGTTCAAAGACCACCTGGAGCACATGCATAAAAATGGCTTTTTTCTTGAACTGCTTTATGTTTGCTCACTTTTTCAGATCCAAGTTAAAACACAACGCAGCTTTTGTCCAGATTCCAATTGGCCTGGAGGGAAACTTTAAAGGAGTTATAGATCTTATAGAAGAGAGAGCTATATATTTTGATGGTGCACTTGGGTAAGTTTTGAAACTTGTGTATTTCTTAGCTGGAGCTACTCTTGGTATCAGTAATGCTACCTGCAGTTTCTCTTCAGAGATGAAAATCCTGCTGTTTGGAAAGTGTGGCCTGTGCTGGGGCTGAGGTGCCACCCTGCAGCTCTCCAGGTTGGCAGCAGAATGATTCTGCAGGGTCAGGTTTCCTGATGGGCAGCTGCAGCCTGAGCTGTGTGCTAACTGCAGTGGTGAGAAGGGCTGGTGGCCACGTTTGCCACCCTGAGGGACAGGAGACTTGCTCTGTAACAGGGCTGACAGCCTGTGTTTGGCAGGAGCTGACTGGGGTGAGGAGAAGATGTGGGTGAGGCTGTTGGGCAGGTTATCCTGCATCCTTGCAAGCTCCTGCCCTGGTGGGAAGAAGCCCTTTCCTGCTTGAGCACTGAAGAAAACAGGGCTGATCATTTCAGGAGACAGAACAATCTCCTCGATACCCATGCCAGGAGTGAATCCTCCTTGCTCAGGCTGGTCACCTCGGTGAGCAGTGGCTGGGAGGCTGTGGGTGAGGTGCCCTGCAGGGATTGTGCTGTGTCTCTGCAGCCAGACCCTGCGGTACGAGGAGATCCCAGCTGAGCTCAGAGCTGAGGCTGCCGAGCGGAGGCGGGAGCTGATCGAGTGTGTGGCCAACTCGGATGATCAGCTGGGGGAGCTGTTCCTGGAGGAAAAGATGCCTACAGCTGCCGAGTTAAAGGTAACTTTCTTGTGGTGGTTCTTCCTGTGGCGCTGTTCCCTCACCCTTGCCTGTCCCTCTCCTCCTCTTGCCTCCCAGTCAAAAATTTACTGATACCTTGAAGAAACTTTGTTTGCTGGGCTTCTCTGGTACCAGTGTCAGCTCCCACAGCTGGACTCCCACTGCCCTCCTTGCTGAGGGCCTGTTCCAGATCTGGTTTGTGATCTGCATTGGGAAGTCTGAACTTGTGTGTGCCCTTTGGAGACCAGCCAGTGGCTCAAGGGCACTTCTGGCCATTTCTGTCAGCCTGGTGCCCTGCTGTGTCACAGCTTGGGGGCTGGGACTTGCCTCATGTCCCATGGCCAGTCGGTTGTTGAGCTGCTGGGAGTCATCCTTGTGCCTAGGAAATCCTCCTTGTGTTTACATGGATTACATCTGAAGGGAAAAGTGCAGCGCCCTAGAAGGGAGCTGGAATGACTTCACTTGGAGAGCCCAGAGGAAAATAATCCAGTCAAAATACAATTTTCAGAAAAGATAGTTGCATTTTTTGAAAGAGGGGGAAAGACTTGATACATGATTTATTTGATGAAATACTTCAGCTATCAAATGTCAGACATGCCAACAGAAAGGGATCCTCATGATAACCATCAGGTGTCTGCAGACTGAACATGATTTGTTCTTGTGACAGTTTGGTATCCCTGTTTCTTCTACAGCCTGAGCTGTTCTTGTTCCAAAGCAGCCCTTCTTCCTCTGATGAAGACAGGAATGTCATAGCAACTTGAGAAACCTGTAGGGATCTGTCCTTTCACCTGGCAGAGTGATGTGGATGCCCTGGATTGCTCTAAGAGGGGAGAGATTTTTAGTAGGAAGCTGGTTTTGATAACTCCTGCTGGGAGGGAAATCAGTTTCCAAGACAGATTTGTCTATCCAGCATGCCTCTGCTTCCCACTTCTGAAAGCAAATTAATTACAGTCCTAATGGCTATAGTATTGCAGATGCAGGTTAATTTGTACTAATGTGTCCCTGAAGATGGGTTTTATTTCAGTGGCCAGCAGCCAAGTTTCCACTGAAAATCTCTTTTTGTGGGAATGATGCAAGTGTCACTCCTGGATGCCACAGTCATAGCTTAGGGTGTTTGCTGAAGATCAGCTGCTTAAACATCACCTAATTTGCCACACTTAGGGAACAGGTCTTGTCCCAAGGACTCAGTGACAATAACCTGTATGTGAAAATAGCATTACTTCTTTTCCCCAAGGTGACTGTTGATGAGGATGAATTGCAGTCATCATGCTTCATTTGAAAACGTGTGGCAGAATCAGCAGGCATCAGCACAGGTGTATTGCCAGCCCTGCTGTGTAAGAACAGACACTGGCTGGATGGGCAGAATTGCTGATGGAGACATGTTTTCCACATGTTATTTTTGCCAAGTCATTCCATCAACATGTTTAAGAAACCCCTGCTCCCTGTTAGTGATGAAGACAGTTCAACTGTCTGTCCTTGGGTGCTCAGAATAGCTTCTGGGTTAGGTGATGTGGTAACTGTCTTGCTCTATCAAGGAGAATCAATTTCTTTTAGCTTATAAAGGAAGACAGGGCCTGTTTTGGTTACAGGGGCTGTTTTGGTTGGAGGGAGGCTTCAGAAGGGAGGTGGCATCCTCTAGTGGCAAGGAGAGCTGGGACCAAGGTGCTGATCTTGGCTGCTGTGATTAATTGCAGAGTGGGGAGGAGGCCAGACAGCGTCTGTCCACCTTCATGATCAGTGTCATGGAGCTGCTGGTGCTCAGTTATGCTTTGCAACGTGGTGTGGTGGCTGGGGGAAAGGCACTGAGTAAGCAGGAGGTGACCATGCAGTCAGTTTCTCTTGCTCAGTTTGCTGGGATGTCCTGGGAGGATTCCCCAGGCAGTTGGTGCAGCTGCAGCAGGTTTGCAGAGGGATGTGAACAGGTCCTTCTGTGGTGTTTTTGAAGCATGCTTCATCAAAAAGGGGTGATTCATTCAGCATGGCACTTACTGAAACACCCCTTCCCTACCTAACTTTCTCTTTCAGAAGAGTTTTCCATAGTTTAAAGATACTGAAGCATCTCATCCTATTTCACAAATTTACATGTGTATTGTTTTCCAGCATAACTAAATAGGGAAGGTCAGACATCTACAACAGAAGTGAACAATCCTGACTTTACCAGCAGAGAACCAAGGAGCTTTTTTCTGAATATTATGTTTACCTTACACATTTTCATTTTTTAGTTGAATTCAAGATGAGGAGGAAAAAAAATAATCTCAGACTGCTCTTGAATTCTGGTGAGGAGCAGGTTTTATGGGAAGCTCTTGTGTAGGGTTTTACTCCATTGGAGCAGCTGCTTTACTCCAGGAGTAGAAAAGACCTAGCAGAGAGAGAATGAATGTACTTGGCTGGTACACAACAGACTCCTGAAGTTGTTACACTGATACTTTTCAGCTTGCAATCAGGAGAGCAACACTGAAGAAAGCCTTTACCCCAGTGCTGGTGGGAAGTGCTCTAAAGAACAAGGGAGTGCAGCCACTGCTGGATGCTGTCCTGGAATACCTCCCCAATCCATCAGAGGTGGAGAACTATGCTATTCTTAACCAGGGGTAAGTGTATTCCTGAGCACACTGACTGCTCTTGGAAGCAGGTTTCCAAGCAGTGTCATATGTAGCAGGAAACATTACTAACAAAATACTCCATTATTTACCTTTAGTATGAATTAACGCCACTGTCATTTTGCAGGCTTCTAAACAGAAGAAAGCTGATCTGTTGTTTGAGGGTTACTGTTTATACTGGTATTTTAAACACACTCTTAAGTGTTAAATTTGAAAAATTATTCTCTGATGAGCTAGTTGTTGAGAAAATAGTGGCAACCCTTAAAGCCATAACTGCAGTAGAGGAGAGAGCACACCTGAAGGGTGTAAGCAGTGTTATATTATTTGGATGTGTTTGTTGCTGTGGATGTGCTTTCACAGTTAAGGAGCATGAAACCCCGCATCAGAGCCAGGACACAGCCCTTCACGTTCCAGTCATGGCTTAGGGGTGGCCATCAGGTCTTCTTAGTGCACTTGCTTTGTGCAGACAGTGTAATCATAACAGGAATGATGCTAAAGAGTTGTTCTCCCAGGGCTTACCTGACTCCTCACTGCTGCTGTTCCTCTGGTAGTCCCTGACATCTCCCTGTTAAAACAGGCTAAAACTCCTCACATGGCTCATGGGCATGGTCAGAAGAGGCATCTGCAGTGGCTTGTTCTTCACTCTAAAACTGGGCCTGCTCATCAGTTGTGTCTGAGGGTGTGGTTAATTGCTTTCACAGCAAAACAACTGGGAAGGACTAGTGATGTTTATCACAGTTTCATCCTCCCTTTTGGGATCTGCTGCAGTTTCTCTGAGATCCTTTCTGACCATACAGGAGATACAAATGTGAGCATCTTTAAGTCTCTAAAATAACCCTGTGAAACTGAAGGCTCTGGCATCTAAGGCTGGGCTCATGTTCAGAGGAAGCTGCTGTGTTTGCTTCATAACAAACTCCTTCTCCTTCTCTGTTTTCAAGGGATTCTGAGGACAAAACCAAGTTCCTGTTGAACTCTGCTCGAGACAATTCCCAGCCTTTTATAGGCCTTGCTTTTAAATTGGAGGTGAGCAAACTGATTTCCTTTCTAGTGCAGCAAAACCAGTGGAGAAGCAGGGCATTTCCTGCAAGAGCTGCTGGTGGGTACCCAAGGCCTCCCAGCACTGGGCAGTTGGTTGCTTGGCACAGGTGCCTGCAAAATGCCTTTCATTTCTGGGGGAAAGATTGAGATTTTCAGTGTATCTCTTTATGCATGTGATGGCTTGTTTACTTGGTGACTCTGTATGTGGTGAAGCTAAACTGAAAGCTTCTGGAGAAGGGATGCCCAGAACATTAGCTCCCTGACTTCAGGCAATTGCTTGCAAGTTTCCTATCCTACCAATATCTGACCTCTGCAGAGAAAACAAGTTGTATTCACAGTGTGTTAACCCTGAAGGAGAAGGGAAGCATCGAGATGGATTATTTGTGATCTGGGGAGAAAACAGAGCAAGTCCAAACAGCTGGTGCTACCAAATCTTGTGTAGAACAGATTTTAACATCAGTTTGTTTACATTAAATTTAAAAGTTCTTTTTTTTAAAAAAAAAGAAGTTTCAACCATAAAATCCACAAATATGTCAAGTTTCAAAGTGGGTTATGTGCCTCAAATTTGTCATCATTTTCCTAGTTAAAACCTGGAGGGTTTATTTGCTTGTAACAAATACCGAAAATCTTGGGTCTGTTTGAAGCTGAGAACGTTGGAACACGGGAGAGTTGGAGAGGAGAAGGTACACAGCTCTAACCAAACCAGCTGAGTACTGCCTGGAGAGCAGCAGGTCAGATTTGATAATGCCAAGGGGCTGGTCAAAGGGCTCATTGATGTGTGGCTGCCTGGTGGGGAGGTTCAGGACTGGTGACATGGGTGAAGTTAAGAAAATTGCCAGCAGATGTGACGTTCCATTCCTGGGCCAAGTGAAAGCTGAGGCTGTTACAACAGAAACATCTGATCAGCTGGTGCAGAGGATGCTTTGAATAGCAATGTTCTGGACTCCCAGGGTGAGAGCTGATGTTTAATGCCCTGTCTTTCCAGGCTGGCCGTTTTGGGCAGCTCACCTACCTCCGGGTGTACCAGGGGATGCTGAGGAAGTCTGATTACATCTATAACACACGGACTGGCAAGCGGGTGCGTGTGCAGAGGCTGGTCCGGATGCACTCAGACAACATGGAGGTGAGTGGGAGAGATGATCTGTTCTCCTCCCCCTCTGCTCTGCCCTGGTGAGGCCACATCTGGAGTAGGGTGTCCAGTTCTGGGCTCCCCAGTTCAACAGGGACAGGGATTAACTGGAAAGAGTCCAACACATTCTACAGAGATGATGAAGGGACTGGAACATCTATCTGATGAGGAAGGGCTGAGATCCTTGGGGCTGTTTAGTCTGGAGAAGAGAAGACTGAGAGGGGACCTGATGAATGTCTATAAATATCTGAGGGGTGGGTGTCAAGAATGGTTCAGTCTCTTTCCAGTGGTGCCTGTGACAGGACAAGGGGAAACGGCACCAAGTGACAACACAGGAAGTTCCACCTCAAGTTGAGGAGAAACTTCTTTACTCTGATGAGGGTGATGGAGCCCTAGGACAGGCTGCCCAGAGAGGCTGTGGAGTCTCCTCCTCTGGAGACTTTCAAGATCCATCTGGATTCATTCCTGTGTGACCTGCCCCAGGTGTTCCTGCTGCAGCAGGGGGGTTGGACTTGATGATCTCCAGAGGTCCCTTCCAACCCCTGTGATTCTATTATATGTCACATTTCTGCTTTTGTGGTTCATTCACACTTGTCTTTAGCACTTAGAGCTCTACAAGGAACTAGAACCATCTCCAGTTTGTTATTTCCACTGAAGTGAAAGAATCAATGTCCAAGCCATTATAAAATGGCTTTGAGGTGATAGCTGAAAGGGAGCTGTGGTATTACCCCCCTATGCCATACTTCTGGCAGAGGGGAAAGAGGAATGGCAAAATACACAAAAAAGTTTTCTTCCATGTGATTATTGAATACAGTTCTTAGGTTGCTTTTCCTGTTCAAAATTTGTGAAGTCTATACCTGGCTCAGGACTGCCTGAAACATGGTGTGTTGTTCTGCTTCATGCCCTGAAACCAGTAAGTTGGCAGCGAGGCTGAGATCTACTTTTTGTGCTTTGAATAGAGAGATGGAAGATTTACACAGCATTTTATCAAAGCTAGAACCTTCAAAGGAGCTCAACTTCAAGCTTTTAAACCCAGTATTTGTATACCTTCTTAAAACCAGGTGTAATTTGTAATACATCTGTCAATGTTCTCTAAGTATAAACTTTTCTTTCTTCAGGATGTAAATGAAGCGTATGCAGGAGACATATGTGCCCTGTTTGGGATTGATTGTGCCAGTGGGGATACATTCACTGACAAAACCAGCACTGACATTTCCATGGTGAGTGCAGCTGCTCAGCTCTGTGCCTCACACGGTGGGATTCACCAGGGCTTTGCTGTAGAAGTCTGTCACTGCTTCTTTTTATAAGTATGGGATGTGCAAGAGGGACACACTCCTGTTGGCCATGATTTACATCACGTGTTACTTCAGTGTCAGCAGACTTCTGGGCTCTCAGAAGTGGATGCTGTTACCCAAAAATATTAATCTATGCATTTCTCAATGTTTTTAAATACATTTACAAAATCTGATAAGAAGCAGAGGAACAGTGTTGGAAACCTGTGGTTGACACATACTGTTCCAGCCTTGTAGTAATCCCTGGGAGAGTTACCCAGTTTGTTACACTGTGATAGGAGATATAACTAAATAAGTAAAACAGCCATCCCTGTGTGTGATGCTGGATTCTTGTGTCCAGGCTTTTCTGGAGAAATAACATCACCACGTGTAGTGGAACTTGACTGTATGATAATTTCCTTCATGGTTGTTGCAGGAATCGATTCACATCCCTGACCCTGTCATTTCAGTAGCTATGAAGCCCTCCAACAAGGTAGGAGCCTACAAATCAACCTTGTTCTGAGTGAGTCACTTTTTCTCTGCTGCTTTTATTGTTTCATGTGAGTTAGCAGTTAAATGGAACCACAGCCTAAAATGAGTCATGTTTTAGAAGCCATAAAGAAGATGCATGTCTTTGACCTGGGTAAACATGGACTTGAAGTAGCTAGAGGGATAAATACAGTTTATGCCTCAGAAAATAGCCCTGTGAGAGCAGAAGGGCTCAGCAGTTGACTGAAAAATTGGAGGCCTCTTTGTTGTGCAGCTTCTGGATGTTGAGTTCATGTTTTCTCGTGGGTGTGATTGTTTTTCAGAACGACTTTGATAAATTTTCCAAAGGCCTGAGCCGCTTCACGAGGGAAGATCCCACCTTCAGGGTCCATTTTGATGAGGAGAGCAAAGAGACCATTGTTTCAGGAATGGGGGAACTGCACTTGGAAATCTATGCCCAGGTAGTTTGGGAAGCAGATTCTATGGGCTCTGCTTTTGAGTCTTTCCTCCTCCTTCCTTTCTGGCTGAGGGACTGCATTGCTGTGCCAGCATCTGCCTGCAGAGATCTTCCCAGCAGGAAGCACTGTGACATTAATGGGAACACTCTTTCTCCTTATAAGGGGAAGAGCTTCACTTCTTGGTCAACTTTTGAAGATTGTTTCCCTCCAGTGGTTCTATTTTGAAGGCTTGTGAGCTACTTAAATGAAACATCTGCCTGGAATATTCTGACTTTTTGGTTCAAATCCCTAAAAAATGCTGTACTGAGCACCAGACTTTGCTTACCCTGAATTCTACCATTAGCCCTTTCCTACTGGAAAGAGAAATACTCTGTTGCTCAAGTTTAAAATGTATCATTCCATTATAAGAGATGATGCAGACAGGAGGGAATAGTTACTTACAGTGACTTATTTGTTTCTTTCAAGTTGATATCTATACTTTTATTTTAGTCTAACAGGACAGATGCAACCAAAATATTGACACAATGAAGAAAACCTGCCTTTTGTTTTGGAAAGCTTACATTTGAGTGAAGTAATTAATGCTGTTCCCTTTTCCTGCACCTAAAGCTATAGCCCCTAAAAAAGGATGACTGCAAAATCACAGTAAATAATTTGTAACATTAAAATAATAATAAAACTCCCACCCAAGACCCCCAAAATCAATCCAACATACTGTACCAAAAATCAGGTTAACCCCGATCAAGTTTCCCATTTCAGAAAGACCTGTAAGTAAAATAATTTCCAACATACTGTTCCAATGGAACAGCTTTGGTTTTAATTCTGCTTTTTTTTTTTTCTCCTTTCCCCTCCTTCCTGCAGCGAATGGAAAGGGAATATGGCTGCCCTTGCACCATGGGGAAGCCAAAAGTTGCCTTCAGGGAGAACATCTCTGCCCCCGTGCCGTGAGTAGCCTTTCATTTATTTGGATGCGGAATTTGATCACGTGGCAGAGGAAGGGCCTTCTGGATTATCAGATGAATATTCAGGAGAAGTTTAATTGAGGAAGGACTTTGTACCTTGGTTGCATATCCCTCCTCTCCAATTTCTCTGCCCTCCCTTCGTGGGCAGCATTGGAGCTCCTTCAGTGGTGGAATCAGGTGGCCTGTTACTGTGGTGGGTGTTGTGGCTGTCGGCTGTCCCGTGTCACTTGGACACCATGCTGTGGGTGCCAGACAACTGTCATTTGCCAGGGAATGATCTCCTGTGGGTAGAAAAGAGAACTGTAGAAAGGGAAAAGGATGTTTTCTTGGAACACCACTGGTTGCTGTTGCCCAGCTGGGTTGGTGAGCAGGAGGTGGATGAAGCCCCAGGGGCACCATGACACACACTCCTGCTCAGCTGCCCAAGTAGTTGAAGTTCTCCTGCATCTTTTCCCAGCCTGTATTGTGCTTCATGCTGCTGCAACTGCATTTACCTCTCCCATAGGCTAGTTCTGCAGCTCCAGGTGTTGATTTACCCCTCTTACTGTGGGTGCTGTTGGTAGTTTGGGACTCCTGTGCCTTCTCCAAACAGGGCACAGTGAAGGACCAGGGCTTTTGTTCTGTAATTAGTTGGCTGCTACTTCTCAGGAAACAGTCTGAGATTACACTGATGCACTTAAACCAAAAAGAAGCTTTTCAGAAACACAACTTTACCTGGGACACCATTTCATGAAGCAGAACCAAGTAGTCAAATTCAAGATACTCGTCACTTCTTTTCTGGAAAGACAAGATGGAAAGGGCTGAATCTGGGGCTTCCCCCCACTGTAAAAGAAGGGAATCAGTTCTCTTTGGTTATTATAAAAATTCTCTGATACATTTCAGATGAAACTGGCAGCTTGTGTTAACAAATACAGCAGATGGAGCTTAGTCCCTATAAGAAACCAAAGAGATCCTGGTTTGTGCTTCTGGGAGCTCCAGAATAAGAGTCGAGAGACTGAACGTGATACATAAAACTGCTGATCCCTCCCTTAAAGAAGCTAGACACAGCTCAACTTCAGGAACTCATTTGGGAAGGGAACACCTGATTTGCCAAGGTGTCAATTCAACCCAAATAATCCTAAATTAAATTGTCAGTAGGGTAAGACTTGGATCACATTCCAGAGGCCTTACTGTGGATAGCAAGTGATCAGTGATTGAGTGGCAGAATAGCTGCTGGCCTCTGGAACACACACCCTTTGTGTCTGTTCTTCAGGGGGAAAAAAGAACCCAAATGACAAATGAGAGATGACAGCTGGTATAGTTCAGTAGTCTTCTGTCTGCCTTACCCTTAAATTCCTCTGGTTGGTGAAGGGGGTTTTTTAATCGCGCCCCTGCGGCAGTGAAGTGTTTGCAGATGGCCATCAGAGGGAGCAACACCTCCACAAATGCTGCTCCCGGCAGGAGTTCCTGCCTCTCCTTCAAAGCCAGAACTCCAAGGGAGCTCACTGGCTCTTCTGAGTGGCCAGACACTGGGGCTCTGAAAGTCAGATCTGAAGACTGATACGTTGGGCTTTCTAAATACATAGTCCTGCTTTTGTATCCTAGCTTATATATTAACTTTCCTTGAATTTAAAGTTGGCCAACCCTTTAGGAGTTACTCTTAACTCACAGTGTATCTTCAAATAGCACAGGGAAAGACTGGGAGAACCTGTAGAATTTTCTTAACATGAACAAAACCGAAGACTTTGCTCAACTAAAAATTAGGAGTTACTCTTAACTCACAGTGTATCTTCTCCAAATAGCACAGAGAAAGACTGGGAGAACCTGTAGAGTTTTCTTAACATGAAAACAAAACCGAAGACTTTGCTCAACTAAAAACTTGTCTGAAAGCAAGTTGCTTTATCAGTTAAGTCTGTTCCAGACAAGAAGTCTTCAGGGCCTGTTGAGAATGGCAGCAAATGAGATGATTAATTTTAATAGCTTTACTGAGATCTGCTAGGCATGTTTATTTCTTAGCTAAGGGCAGACCCAGATCTGCTCTAGATAAACACGTCACTTGTAAACACTCAGAAATAAGCACAAACTAGAAAATGCTTTGTCCTGAAGTATTTTGTTCCCTGTCTTATGACATCTTCCTGAATTCATCTCATAAACTTAATTGCTGTGCATCTTGCTAATATAAGCTTCTGTAAGCCAAGTTTATGAAGAGGAGTGAGCTAGATGAATACTCAAGCCTTCATGATTTGCTAGAGGAATGGGGTAGGTGGGGCAAAACCAAACACTGGCTTAGAAGCAGACTAGACCAAAGATTTCAGACATAATTGAGGTTTCTTGCTGAAGAACTTAGCTTCAGCTGTACTCCAGTGCAGGCACAGCTGCTGATCTCCTAAATACAGGGCACTGCTGGGAACTTACCACTCGCTTCACGTGTTTAATTTGGGCAAGTTGGAACTGGGTGTTTTCAGTTGAGTTCTGCCATATCACGTAGCCAGAGGCCACCCAAGCCAGCAGGTGGATGGGCTCCATTTCTGGGGGCACGTTGCCATGGCTGTCTGGCAAACAACATCAACAATACACGTTAAGCAAATTGAATGGAGCTGCAGCCATTAACAGAACCTTATCCCCTAATAATTGGGTTTGGTGCTGAAATCACTTGCTTGTATTTCTTGCTGTGTCAGAGACATTCCATATAATCTTGGAATTGCAGCTGCATCCCCACTGGGTCTGTTTTCCTCCCACTTCTTTCTCTTAATATATGTTCTATAAGGTTTTCAAGGCAGGGGTTGCTCTGAAGTGAGAGCAGACCCTTGTACTGCAGCTGTGGGGTCTGATGTTCTGTACTGACAACAGCCACAAACTGAGCAGCCCACAGGGAGAGGGAGGAGCAGCAGGTGGTTGTCCAGAACAGTCACATGCAAATCATTGGTTCTGGGTTTCAGAAGTGATGAATAAATTCACTAGTGTGGTGATTGACCCCCCTGAGTGACAGAAAGCAAAGCAGCACGTGCTCAGAGTAAGGCTAGTCACCTTATCCCATCGGCCCTGGCTTGTATGGAAGGGGTTCCCATATGGATCAACCACCAGTTGAGCTCAGGTTTGCTTCTGACCATTGAGGACATTGTCTCAAAATCTCCCTTCTTGCCCAGAACCCTTCTTTGTACCTGGTATGTCTTCTGCCACCAGCTCTTTCTCCAGGCTCTTGATTCGGCTGTAAAATACGTTATCTGCTTCATCTGTGTTCTTCAGTTCTCCTTCAAGTGTGAACTGGACATCTGGAGCAATGTTGCTGCTGCCCAGGTGATAAAGAACCTCAGCAGTGCAGTTAACAGTGCTGTCCTGTTAGACAGTTAATTACATGTATTAATATTTGATTATAAACAACTATAGTAGGGGTAGTTTGCACTTGTTTTTTTCCTTATGTAGTTGCTGTTGTCTCTGAGTGTGGCCCATAGAGATGTGTGATCATTTAAGGCAAGGTTAAATTCATAGTTAAATTCAGTGAGAAGAGTGTAAGGGCAGTTCTCTTTCTGCAGGGGCAGACAGGGCAGTGTGTGTGGTGCAGAATGTCACCTGTGCTGGTCAGTTGCAGTAACACATCCAGGTGACTTCCACTGGAATGGCCCCAAAATGCCCCAGACAACCCTCAAGCATTTCCTTGTGTCACAGTGGCAGGGACCAGATACTCAGGGCTTTCATGGTGTAGAAAATGGATATTCCCTTTTCCTAGAGTTAAACCTTTTTTGTTGGGTTTTTGGTTTGTTTGGGTTTTTTTCTGAATCAGTTCCCCAGTATCATTGATTGATTTGTCCACTTGCTCAGCTGGGATCAGCAGCAGAAGGTGCTGGCTGTTAATCAGAGCTCAGGAGTGCCAGCCTCTGCCCACACAATGTGTCATGAAGTAAATCTGCACTCACTCTGTCAAGGGTATCTTCTAACACCAGCTCCAGGTGGTACTTACGGCCAACGCCTTCAATGTCCTAAATGAGGAAAAGATGAAGGATTTGGTTAAATGCGGGATGACTGAGCACTGAGGAAGGGTTTCTAGCTGTGACCCAGGCTGCAGCAGTGCTGCTTCCTGCAGGGCAGGGCAGTGTGTTCCCTCCTGCCCTGGTGAGGTGGCTCATTCCTCATGCAGCAGGTGTGGCACCTGATGAGTGAGTGTGTCTCATCCTCGTGTAGAACCACCACCGGGCTCCCCTGCCATTACCTGCAGCAACGCGCTGCCAACACTGAAGTAGCAGCCCTGAAGTAGCAGCAAACCTGTCCCATCTGTCCCTGTCCCCCCTGGCCCTCACCTGTTTGGTCTGTCCCCATCCTCACCTGTCCCATCCATCCCCCACCCCAACCCTCACCTGTCCCGTTCCTCCCAGCCCCTTACCTGTCCCCCATCTGTCCTGTCTGTCCCTCACCTGTCCCATCTGTCACTGTCCCCCACAGCCCTCACCTGTTAGGTCCATCCCCCACCCCAACCCTCACCTGTCCCATTCCTCCCAGCCCTTAGCTGTCCCTTCCTTGTCCCTCACCTGCCCCATCCCCCCTGGCACTCACCTGTCCCATCCG